CATGTATAAATGCACCTATGAATTTATATAGATATATAAAAATATGTATATAGGCGTGTATATATATATACTATATACTATATACGATACATATATATATAGATATAATAAATGTTTATAGTATTTATATATATATATATATATAGTTTTTCGTATCGTGGCTATGCTGGCACACTCTAGACTTATATTGTGATCGATTGACCGCAGTCAGAAGCACTTTTAGTTTCGATAGTGGCTATCTCTGAAACATTGTATGCGAAGTGTACTTGTGGTATGTGTAGGTCCAGATTAAACCAGAAAATACTCGTTCTGTGTATGCTGATGACTTTTGGGGCATTTTCGAATCGATGATCACGGCAGGTGCGGTACAAACACTGATTACGGAATGTGTGTGTTGTGTAATTTCGTTGTCATGCAACACATCCATATCTCGGCCGTATACTCGTTATGACTAACTATGATCTATTATGCTTTCTCCGATACAAATTTCGAGCGTAACTGGCTTTCTGTAGAGATGTTCATTATAAAAGCACCGTATAGGCACTATGATCACACTCTTCTATGTCACAAACACAATCCATCATTATATATATATGTAATGCACAGGATCCGTTCCGCAAACAATCTGTCGGTCCGTACTATTAGATCGACATCTGCCACAGTGAAACCATACGCTTGTGAGTGGCCCAACTGTGGTCAGACATGTGCCAGTCCTTCTGCATTGAAGAGGCATATGCGTGTGCACACAGGCGAACGTCCCTATGCGTGTGACTATCCTTGGTGTGGCAAAGAGTTTACTACAAGTGGTAGTTTGAATAGACACAAACTAGTGCACACGGGCGAACGTCCGTATGCGTGCGACTATCCTGGTTGTGGCAAAGAGTATAATCAAATATGTCATTTGAAACTACACGAACGCGTACACACGGGCGAACGTCCCTATGTGTGTGACTTTCCTGGATGTGGCAAGAAGTTCATTCGAAATGATCGTTTGATAGTACACAAACGCGTGCACACAGGCGAACGTCCTTATGCGTGTGACTATCCTGGTTGTGACAAAGACTTTGCTCGAAGTGATGTTTTGAAAACACACAAACGCGTGCACTCGGGCGAACGTCGTCCCTATGTGCATGACTAGTTGCAACGTTCAAACGATCCTTTCATCTACGTCACCATAAAGACGTGTTCACAATGGCAAACACGGCGCAACCATTTAAACATTAGGGTTTTAGGGTTTTTATGGCTCGCATAGGGTAAGTGTGCTGGCCAAACTTGAAAGAAATAAAAAGCCCGAAGGGCTTTTTATTAAGCCTATTGGCGCCGCAGGCGCCTATTGGCGACATCTCCGGCTTATTAAACATACAATAAAGCAATAATTAAAGTTTAAAAAAATGAGTTATTTATATTCATATTCGTTTATACACTCTCGCATAATTATGGGTTTTCACGCAAAGGAAGTGGTCGCAAGGCGTCAGACAAGACGGTCAAATCTCGAGATGACCTACGCCGCGCTCAATCGAGCGCCATGCGCATGTTTGGCATTCAACGACCGAACACAGATCAAAATATCACCCACAAAAATAATAACAATCAACTTTCGAACTTACCCGCAAGCGTAGCGGGAAACGTATCTACAGAGGTACAGCAATCATCAACAATTGACCCTCAAGCTACGGAATCACAGCTTCAAATGGCTAATCTTCAACCATCTACTGGTTAAAACGCTCTACCGGGTCCTACGTCTGGAGCGTTGCCTATTCTATCGAGTTTAGTATCGGAAAAATATAGAAGAATACCTTAAGCGAAACTCATTATCCCATGAGGCAGTTCTTTAAAAACAAACGCAATGTATTACCGGCGCAGCTAGGGTACACACACACACACACACACACACAATCACACACACACACAATACATACTATTAAATATATATATATATATATATATATAACTACTACGGTACTACAACCACACGGACACACACAGGACACACACACATACACACACACACACACTACATATATATA